GCGGCACACCGTACATAGGAAGTAAGAAGACAGGAATACGCTTCACTGATCGATAAGAAGACTCTAGGTGATCTGGATGGCTAACGGTACACAGTCTCAAAGAATTGAGGGCAGTTGAAAACCAACAAACTGGTTAAAATCGCTAGCAACGAAGACAGCACCCGGGGTGAACACAGAGAATACGGATGTGATGAAGATAACAAACCAACAACAGCAACGACAACACCCAGCTCTAATCACTAATAATGGGAGAGCTTTGATAGAGGTTACTTCCTTAGCTTATCTTGCTAGCAAGCATCGCTCCAACCACAGGCGATAGAACGGACGAAGATTTTGAAGCTAGAAAGCATCAGAAAGGCGAGATACAGCTTCATCACTATGAGGTCAGTTTCGAAATCTTCTGCACTCAGCAGCATAAAAACCAAGGTTCGGATTTTCAACACCAATGTCAAGTGGGTCAGTCAGTCAGTTCTCCTGTACAGGTCAGCAACACGATGGGCGCATCACGAAAAGCATTTCCAACAGGCTACAGCAAACATTTTAGACAGCTGCATTCGCTGGCTCTATATTGAAACTCGAACGGCCGGTCGACCGGCCAGACAGAAGGAACTAGCAACAAGAAACCTTAAATGAAAACAAACTAACCAAGTGCCGAATGCTCAACGAATATGTAGGACAAAATAGAGATGGATAGGGCACACAACGAGAAGACCGTCCAATGACATTGCGCGCAATGCAGGCCATTGCTCGGGGAGAACCCAAAAGGGAAACGACGAGTGGGTCGTCAGAGTGAAGGTACATGGAGGTGATCGTGTGGTGGTGAGGAGGGGGAGATGAGAGATTATGGGCAGCCGTGGGGTCAGTCATCTGAAGAGGACAGCAGAAAATAGAACAAAGTGGAAACTTGTTGTTAGAGCCCTATGTTCCACTCGAAATGGAAGGGAATAATAATAATATAATAGTTCGACCAAGCAGCTAGAACGAAATCGGATGGTTTGAATTGCCTCAGCTCTCTCTGAGCAGAGTCGAACCGGGTACGCTGCCGATTAGATCAGCCCCGAACAAGGGGAACAGCCCTCCAGAGTATAGATCACCTCAGCAAAGCATGCACTGCTGACTGATATGAGTCTTGTACGGAACACTATTCATCACAATCAATCACTAGTCTATAGTTTTATGCAAATATATATATATATATATATATATATACATGTTTTAACGGTCTACAGGAGCTTGAAGTCTGTGAAACTTACCTCCATTAAAATTTCATCTGAAAATTCGGCAGCTTCCCATAAGCCACCACCACCAGACGTGAAGTCATTTTCGAAATTTCTACCGGTAGCTAAAAAATTAAGACAAACAAAATTAGAGAACACGTAAACAGTTGAAAAGACAACTCACAAAATATGGAATAGAAGAAAAAGCAAATCAAAAAAATATTTCGCACAGCATAAAACCCCGCTTTGGAAGATTAGTTACTTAAAACTAGTCATTAAGAGACTCAAAACGATACGAACAAGTTAGGTGTAGTGAGTAAAAGTAAAAACAGGATTGAAAACAAGACAATTACAATACTGTCTGTGAATACAACTCAAAAAATAACAATAGTAATTGTTATTATCAAGAGTTTGGTTTTTAAGGATTAGATTTGTTTTTATATGAGTTTGGCCACGGATTGATATCAGTTAGAGAAGCATTGAAAACCAGCACTGGAGTACCGGAAAGCCATCTGTTTCATCCTAGTTTGTTGGGAATCATAGGCAGCCCAGTGGGTGTCACTAGGGTTCGAACCCAGGACCTTCCAGTTACAAGGTAGAAGTAAGAATTCATAAGCTGGCCACTGGATCGGATCCCAGTGGCTTAATTGTCTACAAGCTCGCTAACCCTGTGTAACCGGAAGGGCTTGAATTCGAAACCCATGTGGTGGGTGCGCGTACTGCTGAAGATTCCGAAACTAGGCTGACAAAACAGCTGTCCAGTAACTCCAGTGCTGGTTTTCAACGGTTCTCTAACTGATATCAATATGTGGACAAACTCGTATAATTAATAATAATAATAGTAATAATAACAAGAGCTTCATACATTTATTCCCCTTTATGAATTTGAATAAAGCAAGAACAACAATGGTTTGTACAGAATACACGAAACTACCACCCTTTTTATTTGTTGACTTCTCGTCAGCTGCTTACATACACAGAGAATTCATATTTAAACCAAAAATCAGTATATGCATACAGTGTTTCTAATAATAATCATACAGAATGGATTTTCGACGTTATGTGATCAAACGAAAGAGAGAGTGAAAACATCCAGTTACCAGACAGGACAAGGAAAAACTGAAAACCACTTCTTTCTGGACACAAAATTCGGGTATCAGGAGCTTGATGTAGATTACTTCGGCAAATTTAAGGAGATATGAAGGCTCTAATGACAAACAAATCACAGTAGGAAACAAACCAATCTTCATTATGAGCTGACATCAGTTAGAGAACCACTGGAAAACCAGGGATTACTGGGCAGCTGTTTGGTCCTAGTTTAGGACTCTTCACCGGTACGCACCCACCAGGGTTCGAATCCAGGACCTTCTGGTTACAAGGTGAGCCCGTAGACCATTGGGTTCGAACCCCGTCGGTGGGTGCGTACTGATGAAGAGTCCCAAACTAGGCTGACGAAACAGCTGTCCAGTACTCCCAGGTTTCCCAGTGGTACTCTAACTCATGTCAGCTCATGATGAAATCCTCCATGCAATCAAACAAAAAATCCCTACAAAACCAATACTTGAAGACCTATCTTCATTCAACTTGATTTTAGAGGTGATAATATTTCAGGAATAATCAACAGAAGGTTGAATATGTCGCTAGCCAGAGCCTATTCTGCAACTAGCTAAGTTGGTTCCCATTCATCGGACAACATGCTCTTTGGTGAAATCAAACGTCAGCAGATAGCTTTTTCAGTCAACACCTGCTCACGACACTGGTTACACTGGAAGGATGAAATAAAAGTAGCACAGCCAAAGTCAAGGTCTTTCGAAAGTTGACCTTCAAGAAGCAATCAGATTACAGGGAACGCTACACAAGGTCATTCCAAATCAAATCGAGCCTGCCTTTGTGAACTTGGAGAGGATAGATACTGCATTCTACTTATTCTCTACGTACTTTCCGTGCAAATCTATACTATTAGCTATGGTTATTGGCTTTTAAGATTAAGGCTTATGGTTAAAGTTAGGATTATGGTTAGGGTCAGGAGAAATACCAACGGACCTCAAAGTACCTACAGTCACTTAGATGAATACGACTATCGTGCATGGTATGATTTCTGCATAGATCACCTGTGTAGTAACTGACAAACATTCTTACAACACATACGCGACAACCATATATAGTGCGATATCGTGTTTGCACTGCTTTTTCAGTACCTTTCTTCAACGATTATGCAACTGCTTTTGCATCTGAATTCTGATTGGTTATTCAAGGTCACTGCGATTTTGGCTGTGATACTTTCACTCTGTCCACAGAAGAATTATGACTTAATGGATTAATAAATAGGATGAAATCCTCACCAGATGTTAAGTTGCATTTGCTACATCTCGCAATCGCAAAAAGCACACATCAATTTAGACTGCTTTCATTTACAAATGACATAGTGTCAGATCTAAGGGACGTCAAAATGAAATAGGAACGCAAAGCTGACAAAGCAGACGAAGAAACAAGAAGACGCTTGCAATTGCAGAGGCTTGCGCGATTCAAGTTTATAAACTAGGTCTCTGTGTACAAAAGGAGATGGTCATGACTCTGAATCTACCATGGTAATACGTTTTACTTATAATTCTACCTCTTATTATTATTAATATTACTGATTCACTTAAACTATCCTTTATCAGTAGGATTATCTTAACTCACTTCAACACTATTATTATTATTGTCATTATAACTATTACTATTGACATTACTGTGTTTGCAATTCTTGTTATATTCTTTAATGACTAATTGTTTATCTAAGTGATGTAATTGAAGCGTAATGCAATTTATCTTAATTTTCATCTCTCATATTCTCTCTCTCCCCTTATCTATTTGAACATGACCTGGAAAAACATTCGCACCTGTCTGTCTGCATGACTAATTCCCTGTAGTTTGTTTACTCATCAGTCTTATATCTCCCAATGTAATTTCATAAGTATATATTTCCGTGTATGTAGAGTACTGAGCAGCTGATGAGTTCTACCGAAATCTGATGAATTCATTAAATCCTGCTTTATTAACCTTTATTGCTTGTTGTAAATTCGTATCGGGAAATCAATGTTTTCAATTCTTGAAATACATAAGTTGACGTAGGATCAGGTTGAAAAAGAGTTAACTAGTGGTGGTCAGACCATAACCAAAACATGGCATCATCAGTCAATCAAATCCACAAGAGGGTTAGTTTAGGTCAGCCAGTCAGTCACGTAGAGAGGGAGGTGTAGACTGCCTGACTAGCTGGTTAAGGTCCTCAGGATGGTAAGAACCAATGGTTGGAGGTGGTGACAATTGGTAATATGGCTCAAAATCCTCGTTCATAATGACAGTGGAGATGTATTCACTCTTTGTGATTTATCACATCCAATAAAACTCTGTTGTTCTTCCACATTATTATTCCTTTTCCCTCATGCACACTTCTATTTGCTATCACTCCATCTTTTGAACCTCTCTTTACTCTCTTCTCTTGCTTTGTGTGCTACGAAGAGGGAGTGTGACAAGTGGAACTGCTGTACATCTTGTGCAGAGTTCTACGTTGAAACCACTCAACACACAAATAATCACGAATAAAGCCAAATGTGGACAAAAGAAATCAAAAGAATAACATTTGAAAATCCCTAATCCTACCCAACTTTTGTACACAAAAAAAGTAATAACAGTATCAAATAATAAAAAAATATAGTTTATAAAATCCACATCCGTTAAACAGTTTACTCATCCATCAATAGAATGGATTTACAAAAAACAACAACCACAAAAAACACTTACCAAAATTAGGATTATTGACAACAGGATAGACAACATCTCCGCCTTGAACAGTAGTCATAGCCTGAAAACCTGATGGATGATGAACCAGTTGTTGTCTAGCATTAGCCTGATAATTAAGTTGACGTAGTGGAGCTCCAGTTGTACCAAGAGTGACATTACTTATCACAGGTTCCATATAGGATATTTTAGGTTCCAAAACAGGAGGTTGTGAGATCCCAGCGAAGTGTCCTTCAGTGATTTGACCTCCAAGAAACTTCTCTTCTGGTGAAATATAATAATAATAATAATAATAACGAAGTCACGTGTCGAGTTAGGTGTCAAGAGGAACTTTTAATGCTGTTGTTAATCTATTCCAGGGAGTGATACGGGAGAAATATTGATTGCCTGTGGAAACTAACTTAGCGTATTTGATTTAAACAAAACTGGTTGGAAGAGTAAGGTTAAGGCATGGAAATTTAATTGACAGCATGTAGAGATGTGTCATTTGTCAGTTCTCCGCCTAGAGATAGGTTCATCTTTTTGAAGGATATTTTCCACAGATAATCAATCACAGTCCCAATTTTTCTAGTTCCATCAGCTTCAAATTATAAATGAAGAAAATAAAAGACAGATTCAGCGAAGAAAATTTTCTTTATCGACGAAATCATCTTCAGAGGCTGTACAATCGTATTTATACTTACAAAAATATATAGTGGTCTATTATTGAGTAATACAGGGTGACATAATTGATATAATTACTCAGAATTGTCTTTAGAAGTGAAAATTAAAAGTTGTAAATTACATGGTACTCAACGGCACAAAGATAGAAATTTGATAAGGTTAAAATTGCTATTAAGTGAGAATAAAGGTATTTGAGTGTCGATTTAACAAGTGTGAAGAGGGTGTGAAAATATACAAAAGGATCATTATGTCACCCCCTATTACTCAATAATAGACCACTATACATTTTTGTAAGTACAAATACAATTGTACAGCCTCTGAAGATGATTTCGTCGATAAAGAAAATTTTCTTCGCTGAATCTGTCTTTTATTTTCTTCATGACTCAATGGGTATTTTCGGCAAATTATATAGGTATTTTATTTAATTCAATTTAAGATTCTCCCCCGTCGATTGATTGGATAGAAGTGCTCGGTTTCAGGTTGATATGTCGGCTTCTTGTGCAGATGCTTCGACGATGTTTGGCTATGCAATTAAAAGTTAATTGGTGCATAGTGACTAGCAGTGGAATCTAGGATGCGTGGCCCAAGTGGTCTAGTGGATAACGCTTTTTGGCGTTTAAAACTATGGCCACTGGGTTCGAGTCTCGGTGGGAACATCGTCAGTCACTGCAGGTACATCCAGGTGACGAGTCCAAATAGGACGAAATGCTCATCATGGATTCCACTTCTAGCTCCAGCTTGAAGCCCAATGTTCCACTCAGGACGGAAAGGAATAAAATAAAAATAATACACAAGGCGTAAAATGATGGATGAAAGTAATTAAGAAGGAAAAAATGTCGACTTCTAGCTTCATTCGAGCATTAAATTTATGCAACATAAGGAAGGTTGAATTGAATTTTTTAAATGAAATGAATGTTAATCACAAATGAAATGCAACTAACTTCCATAATCATTTGATCCTCTTATCGGTTCTGATATAGGCCGAGTGGCATATTTATGATTGGTAGGAGAACAACGAGAATCCATTGGTGCCTAGTGGATAAAGGAAATGTAAAGGAAAATAAAAACAGGACATAAAATCTTTTAAACCAATCTATAAAACGTGTTTGGTGCGTATCCTAAAGTTTGTGGTAACCCTAGCGTGGTGAGAGCTGGCTGCTAGCCAAAGTTGTTAGGCAGTAATTGACGTCAATGTTTATGTCCCCAATATTGGTGGTGAGAAAATGAGAACAAAGGCTTTGCGTAGGCGGATACAGTTAGCATATGGATGATGTGACACAGCCACAAGAGATGCAAGGTTAACTTTCTGTGAGAAACAACCAATCACAAGACTGAATTTTCTACTAACGATAATCTACAATAATGTACATTAAAATCCATAAATATGTGTTGATTTTCCTTAATAAACGATCTGTTGCCTGGCCCTTGTCTTCTGTTTTTATACTAGCAATTATTATTAATAGTATTGTTCACTTGGGTTCCAAGTGGAACATAGGGCTTCAACAACACATTTCCACTTTGTTCTATTCTCTGATATCCTATTCAGCTGGCTAACCCCACGATTGCCCATAATCTCTCATCTCCTCCCCCTCAACAACACACCATCTCCTGCATATCACCCTCAAACCGACGAGCCAATCATCGCTTCCCATTCGACTAGAGCAATGGCCTGTCTGGCACGCGATGTCATTCGACGGCCTCCTCAGTGGTGCATATCCGATTCATCTCTATTTTCTCTCATATATTTGTTGGGCGATCGACTCTTGGTTGGTTTGTTCCCAGCCAGAGAGTTTCTTGTTGCTCATTCTTTCTGACCGGTCTGTCGGCCATTTGATCTTCAGTATGGAGTGAGCGAAGGAAACACAAATGTGGATAAAAGTCTGCAACTGGTTTTTCGAAATGCTTTCTGTGACAGGCGGTGCAAATGAAATCAAAAGTCGACAGATACTTTTTTCATGTTAACTCCAACTGAGTATACAAAACTACATGTATCTGCGGTAGCAGTTACATTAGGAGGCCAGAAAGAGGGGCATATCTTTGATTTTCTGAACACGTACGAAAAAACCTACATCTTTAGCGGCGAACAAATGCTTTGAACAGTGCCACTGACAAGCATCTCCTTGACAAGGATTATGAGGTGGATATCGCAAGATACTTCATAATTATCAGCAGACAAAAAAGAGTTCAATTCTCCACAAGTTTGCTGGACCAATTTTTATCAAGCTCGTGAAACCCGATTTATGTGTCCAGACGGAAGAGGTTATCGGTCTTTTCTTACCCTGCCTGTTAATTGGATGCTTTTGTCCTCTCTTTCGTTTAATTACGTAACTGTGAAAATTTCATTTTGTATGATAACTATTGTTTGGCATACAGTGATTGTCATAATTATAACTAATGCATGCATATATTGATTGATTTTTGTTTAAAAATGAACTCTCGGGGTATGCAAGTATGTTAAAATTATTTCTGTAGGTATACTTAATAATTTGTTTAGGCTGTAAGCAAGCAGCTGAGCTGATGCGAAGCCAACGAAATAAGCAAAGGATGGTACCATCTTCTTATTCTGCACAAACCACCTCTGTTGTTGTTCTTGCTTTATTCAAACAACACATACTTCTTAAAAATATTGTGTTTGTATTAGAAGTATATTTTAAGGAAAACAACCTACTACGGAATAGACAGACACGTGAACGAAGTGAATTTACCCACTTACCGGATGATGATATCTGTCTGCTAATTTATTACTGCTATTATTAATATTGCCCATGTTTGAAGGAATTTCACACGTGTTATTATGACTGTCATCTGTGCCTTGACGATATCGTGCATCAGTTACAGTTGTACCAGCAGTTACATCTGGAAGTGGTCCCATATCTGGTATACCTCTTCTTTGAACATTGGTAGTATTTGTAAGATACGATGCTGGATTTCGAACAATTCTACTGATATTACTTATCTGTGATCTGGACAGTGCAAAAGCGAAGAAACAAAAAAGATTATAATCAATATTATCTCACATCAGACTGAATAGGTTGAAAATATAAAAAATTATCGGATGAAAAAGATTTCAAATCTGTTGACTGCATCAACAGGATTTGTAGCTCACATGGATGATTTTGACGTAGTTGTGTTCTCAAAGGAGTTAGTTGATTTAATTGCGAAGATTTCGTCCCCGTCCCCCCTTGTAGACAACATCTTCAGAGAAGGTCTTAGTATGGAATTAACTCATTTAATTCGCCATGAATGATTTAATTGTTGCTGCATACTAAAACCTGTGCTGAAGATATTGTCTAGAAGGACGACGAAAGCAGTATACGCGGATAACACAAAAGTCTACAGTTGAAAGACGAATACGGTGGTGACAGAGCTGCAATCTTTCTATACAACTGAAGGATTCAATAAGGCACAATGAACTTTGAACTTTACACGTAGTCTGTGTTTATATTAGTAATTTGTAAGTACTAAATTTACCAAATTATGCTTTGTCTGGACGTGAGTACTGCTCAGCAGCAGTTGGCTCCGTCCTCCTCTATGGCTGCGAGTGAGACACGGCAATTTAGAGTGAAAGACATGAAGATCCTGACTAGTTGTCTTTGATAAATAGTTGTCTGTGTTAAGTGGTGGTATATTAGGGTGAGCAATATTGAAGTTAAGCTTGGCATCGGTGGTTGAGTGGGGAGCAAATCAATCGACGAGATGGTTGTGAAGCTACTACTACATCGATTGAGAGAGATGGTTAGAACATGTGTTACGCACACCACCATGCAATCGATAGATTTCCTCGAGGACCAGCAATGGTAGCTAACTGACATATCATGATGGATGAGGTTGGAAAAGAGTTAGCTAGAGGTGTGAAGACAAAACATGACTTGGTGAGTCAATTAAATCCACAAAGGTTAGTTTAAGCCAGCCAGTCACATCGGGATGTGTAGACTGCCTGGCTGACTGGTTGGGGTCCTCGAGGTGGTAAAACCAATGGCTGGAGGTGGAGACAATTGATGATATGGCTCAAAAACCGTTGTCAAAAGCTGTCGCAGATGAATTCACTCTATGTGACTTGTAATTCTGTCTCTGTTTATTATATTTTTCTCTTCTGAGTCTCTCTTCACTCCCTTCTCTTGTTTTGTGTGCTACAAGGAGGGCTGGTGCACACCTGTTCAAAGTTCTGGGTTGAAACCAATCAGCTAGTTGTCTGAACGCATACCATGATAATATATTCCTCTTCGTTATGATCTATTTGGTGATGCGTAGGATAACACACTGTGAGTGTACACGCATGTTCGGAGTTGAAGTAGAAACATCATCACTCAAATGTAGTTTCACAACTTAGCATTGCATCCAGTTGACGTGTCCCAAATAGGACGAAATGCACATTCTGGATTCCAATGCGAGACACCATCTATCAATTACCGTCTAATTACATACATCGTCGAAGCATCTGTACAAGAAGCCAACCGAGCACTTCGGTCCAATCACAATCGAAGCGAAAATCGATAATTGAATCAAATAATCAATATGACCCATTGCACAACAGACAGTGGCTCTCATAGCCCAAGTGGTCTAGTGAATAACACTTTGGTGTTTGAAACCATTGGCATCGGTTTCGAGTCTCTATGGGAACATCTTCACTCATTGCAGGTACACCCAGTGACGAGTCCCAAAAAGGACGAAATAGGCGTTATCCTGGATTACTTCACTGCGAGACACCAGCCACCAATTAATTTCTAGGCACAACAAGTCTTAAATTTAGTATAACCGCTAATTTTTAAACTTTATCCTACAAAGTTATAAAGAATTCAACACACAGGTGTTTGTTAACATTTCAAAATAATGGTCGTCTTTTTTGAGTTCGAAAAAAAAATTTTCGAATTGAATTCAATCCGTTTTATTTTACATAGTCTGTTTCTCATTCGAGTTTGCCCACTGATTGATATCAATTAGCGAATCATTGAAAACCAGCATTGGAGTACTGGAGGACAGCTAGCTAGCTATTTCGTCAGCCTAGCTTGGGACTGACTCTTCATCAGTAAGCACCCATCACTGACAAGGTTTCAGATCCAAGAACTACCTTCCGATAACAAAGCTACCGAGCTCGTAGACCATGCAGTCACTGGGACCCGACTCATCAATGGCTGGCTCATGAATTTTAACTTCTACCACCAACTCGTGATTTTTTTCTTTTGGTAAAACTTAAAAAATAAATCAAATCCCTACAGATCAACTCTTGAAAAATAATGTGTGATTCTTTATGTATTTATTTATTTTATTTTTTTAAACACACGAATGAAATATCCCACTGGCTATCACTTTTATTATTTCAGACACCAACTTTTATAAAAAAGAAAAATAATTGATGTCGAGTCAACGACTTGATATTTAGCATTAATTTTATAAATGTCCTTTGTACACGTCTGGTTGTGATTCTCTCACATCATTTATTGATCTGCAGGCCTAATTTCTCCTCAGCCCACTTATGACCTTGATACCCTATTGGCTGTTGACTGTTTTAACTCACTAATGTAATTAGTGCCCCCAAGGTCATTTAAAGCTCGGATGAATGCCCTGATGAAAAACTTAATCACATTCAACGACTGTTGAGTGAAAACAGTTATCCAGAAAAGTTGATTGATAAGAATATCAATCAAAAATCAATACAGCCCAAGGTATCAACAGTTCCCAAAAAGGCCTTATTCTTACAAATGCATTTCCTCGGAGATAACATCAGCAAGATACTAACACGACGCCTTAGAAATGCGGTAAAAAGAGCATTCCCTGCTGCCGAATTACAGTGTGTCCTAAAAACCACCCCTATTTTGCGTTCTGGAGTAACAGATAAACTGCCTAATTTCGCCTCTTCCATGTGTATCTACCAATTTAATTGCCCCGTGTGGAGCCATTTAGTTGCACAGGCCGTACAATTAGGCATGTTTCTCATCGGATTTCCAAACATCACCCTGCATAGTGGTTGAGTAAAGAACAAACAAAATTTATTCGTGACGCTATTCTATCTCATCTTGTGGATACAGAGCACAACAGTGATGTCAACGAGGAGGCTTTCAAAGTCACTTACCGTATACCAACTAATCTTAACTTCGTCGTAAGAGTTCGTTAACTAAATATTACTGAGGCTGAATGTTGGGATCTATATTAAGAAGCCTAATTTATGTGTGCAAAAAAGAAGTTGGTTCAAACATTGTCCTTACCTTGGCCATCTAGGTTCGAATGATCCTCAATATTTTGTAGACATTTCCTTAATTTTAGTTGATATTCTATTTGCTATTAGATTTTAATGCCTATTATTATAACTTGTGCATCTCTAATGAATTGTAATTCCAATGATCTTACTTAACAAATCGGTATTATTTAAAAAACACCAATATTGTTACTGACTATTGTTCTAGAATATTCTATATATATATATATATATATATGCATGTACTAGCGCAGTCAACCTTTTTCACCGTTGACACAACACAGTGAAGGCTGTGCATGTAAACAATCAGTTTCACCTTCTTGTCCTCCAGCGCTGAGTTCCACGTGGTATCGTGTCGCCTTGTTGTTTCTAATATTGATATTATAAAAATCAAAAGGTGTGATTCAGCCAAGAATTTATTAACAAGCTGTTCAATGTCAAAATTCTATGTTATCAAACTTCACACAATCTTACGTAAAGTTTTTATTTTTATTCTTAATGCCTACTAATCCTATAATTTTACACCCCTTCCAACACCTATCCATCTTATGAATTGTTCTATATCGACGACATTAAATAGTTTTACCATTTGACATTCAACTATGATTTTAATCCCACACATTTTAAATGAATTCCATATTTCCACTGTCGGTAAAATTTATTTTGATAAAGTCTCACAGTAATATTTGCTACTGATGACTACGTTTCGAGCACAATTTATCACTGCTCAAAATCATATCAAGGTGCTCAAACAACTTTCTAACTTCTTCTATATGGTGGTTCCATTATTTTTCATCGCTTGACTTGATGATTGGTAGTAGTATTTTCCACGCTAGTATTTATAAAAAACCAACGCATTCCGCTAAAAGATATTTAGACTTGAATTCATCTCATCCGTTAACTGTTAAGGCAGGCTTAGTTAAGTGTCTGTTTAACAAACCGAGCAGTAGCATTAAGTGGTACAACAAAAACCCAAATGATGATATGAAAAAGATAGACGAAGAAAGATAAGAAAAGGTCAAAAGCAAAATAAAAATAATGGGGAAACTAATAATGATAACATAAATAAGAGAGAATATAAGGCATCTACAGAAGTTGCACCATATAAAGAGGGGACGTCTAAAACCTTCCCCTACGTAGGATTCTTAATAAAGCAGGAATTAGGGTGGTGGCGATCAAGCCTACAAACTCACTCAGGCAGCGAGAAGTTCTGAAGGCTAAAGGAACCTGTCGAATGACCCAATTAGACAAAATAATATAATTTACAAAATATCTTGCAATGACTGTAAGTTAGGTCAAATATATAGGTCAATCAAACTAGTAGATCAGGAGTAGTGAGATTATCAGAACATAAGAGTTTAGCTAAGGTCAGACTGATTGGTCCCACGAACAACAACAACAATTGCACTGCATAAATGCATTAACACAACCACACAATAGGGTGGGAGAGGGTTAAAATTCTGAAAAGTAATATATGTAGGTGGAGAGAGAGGTTGATTACTGAATCTTTGTTCATCGAATCTATACTCAACACGTGCAATAGGACGCAATGACTCATCACTCATACCGGAAATATGGAAAATACTACTACCAATCAAGTCAAGCGATGAAATATAATGGAATTATATAAACGAAGCAAGAAAGTTGTGTGAGTGACTTGACATGATTACGAGCAATAAATTGTGCTCGAAACGTGGTCACCAGTAAATATTACTGTACAACACTGTGTGACTTATCAAAATCAATTTTGCCCATAATGGAATTATACTCTACCACAGTGCATAAGTTCTATTCTTATATCAATGCATTTCATACTACTATTATCATTATTATTTCATGTATTCACGCCTATGATTCAATTCCCTCAAGGGATATCATTTCTTAAAAACAATCCATCAATACACGATTGTACAACCTGATAATAAATTCTTTACTGAAAAGAGTCTCTCTGTTGAATCAATCGCTTGTTTTGATTTTCTCTATTTCCCAATGGAAAAATTTTCCATGAATCTTGGTTAGGTTAGAACGATAAAGCTCGCGAATCGACTAGGTTGGGGCAATTCGTTAGTGCAACTACCAATTGTATTAATAACGGTCATCTCACAACATTAGATGAGCACCATGCAGGATGCACGTAGAACTAGACAATTCATTATTATAACCAACAACAAAAAATACAGGATTTCATCATGAGGTGACACTAGTTAGAGAACCATTGGAAAACTAGCTGGGAGTACTGGACAGCTGTTTCGTCAGCCTAGTTTGGGACTCTTCATCAGTACGCACCCACCGGGACTCGAGCCCAGGACCTTCTGGTTAAAAGGCTAGTGAGCTCGTATACCATTAAGCCACTGGGACCCGATCCAATGGTCCATGAATGGTGGTATACGAGCTCACTAGCCTTTTAACCAGAAGTTCCTGGGTTCGAATCCCGGTGGGTGCGTACTGTGAAGAGTCCCAAACTAGGCTGACGAAACAGCTGTCCAGTACTCCCAGCTAGTTTTCCAATGGTTCTCTAACTAATGTCAGCTCATGATGAAATCCTGTAACCAATCAAATCCCTACCAACCAACACTCGAACAAAAAAAATACAACATAAAAATTTATTTTTACCAGGCCAACTTACCCTGGATGATCATTCATTAAATGGCCTTGTTGTTGTTGTTGACGGAATCGTTCACGATCAACACGTTGTACTTCTTAATATTGTGTACATAGATGGTCAAAAGAAAGAAGAAGAAATTTGGAAGGGAATAGAATAAAACAGAAACCCACAGAGGTAATGAAATATAAGAGTAATTAAAAAAAAACACTATTTCTTCCTGCCCCCCACGACCACCACCACCCTCCTCACACAAAAAATATGTATGAAGTTTAAAGGGACAATTCATCAGAACTTAAATTGACATAAAAAAATATAAATAAAACAGGATTACTGTACAATTATTAAATCAGAGTAATTATAACAGGCTTCTTCACTACACCACCATCAACATCATCGTCATCACAAGAATTGGAGTCGAAACTTGATGACGCTGATTTCACAAGGAGCTTACCACTAACCTTGCTCAACGCTTTACAATTCACTTTTGTATACCTTTCTTTCAAACAGATAAAACACAACCATTTTTACAGGATTTCATCATGACGTGACATTAGTTAGAGAGCCATTGGAAAACCTGGGAGTACTGGACAGCTGTTCCGCCCTATTTTGGGACTCTCCAGCAGTACGCACCCACCGGTGCGTAGAGTGCAGCAGGTCGGGTGTGAAGATAAATAGTCGCCGAAGATATTGGCTAGGAGTCGCGCTATGTCGTGAATTGGCAGAGGTTAGAATTCATAGGCCATTGGATCGGGGTCCTAGTGGCTGAATGGTATACGAGCTCGCCTTGTAACCATAAGGTCCTGGGTTCGAGGCCCGGTGGGTGCGTACTGCTGAAGAGCCCCGAACTAGGATGAAACAGCTGTCCAGTACTCCCAGGCTTTCCAGTGGTTCTGTAACTAATGTCAGCTCATGATGAGACCCTGTAAACAGTCAAATCCCTACAAACCAACACTTGAATAACAACCATTTTTGTCTCACAGCTTGTAACCTATCTGTTGGGGATAAACCACGAAAGCTGTCACACTCATCAAGTTCGTATGGATTACTATACACTGTACACCTTTCTCTATATATATCCACTTCTCTGAGAGCCCTTCGTCATAAATGGTTGCGTTTTGCTCTCTAACGTCTCTATTCCAAAGGGGTGGGATGCAATATATTAGCAAACTTGCTCATTGCTTGGTTGACACTGTCTTTCACCAGTCTCAAAATATCATCAAACCCTGGCTCCAAAACCATCCTCTTCTAAACGGGAGGTGATTTTTATGAACTTTCTTTGTAGGCGAACGGGGTAATCTCTTAGCAATTGCCTCAAGAACAGAACTCGTGTTTAATTCATCCATACAACTGAGAGAAAGGAGGGTATTTCTGTGCTTCGTTAAATTATCAAAAAACTCAGAGAGTTCCAAGGAGTCATCGTTTAACTGCGTATCATTACTTTTAAAGGTCTCAAATACACTACTGGATATCATCAATGGCCTCCCGAACCTTTGACGTAACATTCGGTGTATCTTTCATTTGGGGGCAGGAATTAACAACATTGAATTGCCATTGCCTCTGCACCAGTGGAATATCTTGAAAAGTACATCAACTTCATATCATCATTAAGTCCGTAACCATTCAGCATAATTTCAATTTCTTTCACAAAATGAGGATAGTCTGCCGGGTTTCCACAGCGTCACAACAGAAGGGGTCAATTGACACTTGAAGGCATTATTACTAGCAATTTATTTTTTTTATTATTTTTTTTATTATAGCTTGATTCCACACTATATTTCTGGTACAAGTATGAAATATTCAGCATGTGATATCGGTGCCTATATTTAGCAGACCGACCACAGATATCAGGTGTGCATCCGCAGGGGGACGAACCTCGGACCATGTGCATGGTCAGCGAGAGTCCTAACCGCTATGCCACCGACGCATTCGTACGTCGGGTGACAACTTTGTCTAGTTAATTCATAAAACTTGGATCTCTCACCTACTGCTTGGTAGCGGGTGGATTATAAGCCACACTGATTTGGTGATGGGCTACCACCCAGTTGCCTAGACTAAAGTAGGTGGAGCAGGATTCGAACCCGGGAGTCATTAGCTAGAAATTGAGTGGTTAAGCCAAAGAAATACAACCAAATCAAATACAATCAGGTAAGGGATCTGGGATTCTTTTGAATAGAGAGTGAATGGGGGGGGGGGGGTTGCGCTGAGTACTGTTTTTTATGATTGTTTATTATTAATTCATAACAAAAGAAATTTATTAAATAAAACTGAAGCGTTTATAAAAAGATGACGACACCTTTTATGTAGACTAATTAAGGGTTAGTAAGTGTTAGCGACAACTGAGACGAAAATATTTACTAACCACACAACACGGCAGCCTATTTGAATCATTGGGCCAGCAAAATTTCTATCCAACAATATGACTTAACTCTACCTACATTTCAGGGTCTCATCGTGAACTGACATCGATTAGAAAACTACTGGAAAACTTGGGAGTACTGCCAGACAGCTGCCTCGTCAGCCTAGTTTGGGTCCGACTCTTTATCGCTACGCACCCATCACAGCGGTTCGATCCCAGGACCTCCTTATTGTTTTAATCAAGCAGTTATATCAAATGAACTCGCGTTTTCAACAAAACGCGATTCTTGAAGGAAATGAATTAGAAATCTACAGGATTGGTTCTCTCTTCATATGCAACAACACTACGTCACAAGGAACACTGAAGAGTGTTTACCCTACATGTAAATCCTGTATGAAGAGGGAATATTTTAGAACTAAATACGCTGACAATTTCTGTTCACATTTTGCCTGAAATAAAGCTTTATTATTAACATCACCTGGAATTTTACATGCATTAGTAGTGTTTAGTGAAGTAAAAAGGAGTTATTTAGTAAATGTTAGTAATTGGATTCATTCCTTTCTCCATTCCAACACATTCATCAAGCTGAAACCAATCTGGAAAGCTTCGTCACTCCTCAACATCAACAACAAAATTCGGATTTTCAATACTAACGTCAAGTCAGTCACTTCTTCTATACGGATCAGAAACTCGGCCAGTGTGTCACAAAGAATATTTCCAACAGCCTGTTGCAGACCTTTGTCAACAGCAACTGTCTTCGCTCTATACTGAAGATTAGATGGCCGGAAAGAATCACCAACAAGAAGCTATGGGAACAAACAAAACAAGAACCAATCGCTGAACAAATATGCAGGAGAAAGTGGAGATGGATTGGACACTCGCTGAGGAGGCCGTCAGGCCATAGCTCGAGTGGAACCTGAAAGGGAAGCGGCGAGTGGGACGTTCAAGGATGACATGGAGGAGATCGTGTGAAGAGGAGTTGAGACAGTATGGACTAACATGGATGCAGATGAAAAATACAGCGGAAAATAGAAGCAAGTGGGGATGTGCAGTTGAAGCCCTATGTTCCAATAGGAACCTAAGGGAACAACAACAACAACCTTTCCCTATTCCGATTTCAGGTAGGCAGTCGCATCATGACCTAGTGGATGCATGGTCAACCAGCTGGCCTCAAATCCTACAGGTGAGGTTATGGAAGTGTACTGCTGAAGAAGTGTACTCTATGACGTAACAACAGCTGTCCAGTACTACTATCGACCAACTACTAACTCTGTTTATACGTCAGTGGTTCAATAGTCAAATGCTCGCCAACCACGAGCACGTGGTCTGGATTTGATTCCCGACTTACGTATTCTTAAAACTTAAATTATTCAACAGTAAGTATGGTATGGAAGGAAAGTTGAGTGTATGAAGATAGTAACTCCATCCCATAAAAATAACAACAACAACGCTACTGAGACTTCAAGTGTCAGAGATTGAAGCCCTATGTTTCGCTTAAAAAACAATGCTTTATACTGCTGTGGCGTGTGCTACTGATAAAATTTATCAGTAGCATATATATAAGGCATAAAAACATCAAATAACAGGGAGACAGATTTACTGTGAAAGAAAGCAAATGATTCAGCGTTGCGGAGATACATGAGAGACATGAAAGGAATCACAAAGATACACAATTTGAAAACCAGAAGTGGCACAACACGAAAGATCTGCGCAAAATGGTGACTTGAAGATAGGATGCATAGAGATACGAAATCCCCCCCCCCCAAAAAAAACATTCCTTGACCAAGTGTCTCTTGTCTTGTACCCGCCACACTGCCACTTATTTTACGCGTATGATTGAAATAAAAACAGCATGTTGCTAAGTGAGTTAAAAGACAGGATTATGAGTGCACTAGGATCTAGATACATTTATTCTGGCAACATTCCGTTTACTTACAGTTACCAGCTAGCTAATCCTAGCTGCGGAATTCTTGATATTGGAATAATGTAATACGTAGCTAGACGACAATATGACACTAATCTATGCAGCCAATGATTATTGGTACACAGACTTAAGTTAAAAACAATACATGCAAACTACAAGCGATAGGGCCCTGAAAAAGACTTCACTGAAGTAAATGCATTTAGGCATCTCAGCAAGGATACAGAAGGGTCGTTTGATATATATGTTAACATACGCCATCTCTGGTTTAGTAAACGAGATACTCGGTTGGCTACCGACAAAAGGACTTGGGTGCTGCTCAGCAGTCCCTTCTGTCCTCCTTTATGGTTGTGACTCAGCCATGGCCAGGGAGAGTGGAAGACATGGAAAACCTAGCTAGCTACCTGTCTTTGATCATGCGTGTCTGCGTTCTATCTCCTGTGTGTGTTAGGTGGTAGTGTAATAAAGTACGCAATATTCAGGTTAGGCTAGTCATCGGTGGTCGAGTACTAAGTAGGTGTAGGTAAGGAGGGGAAATCAATCGACGAGGTGGTTGTGAACCTAAACCTACACGCATACCACCGTGTAATGCAATTGACCGCCTTCCTCCATGACGAGCAACGATAGCTGACTGAAATAGGATGGATGAGGTTGGAAAAGAGTGAGCTAGTGGTGGTCAAACCAAAACACAGCTTCATCAAACAATACAATCCATAACAGTTAGTTTAAGCCAGCCAGTCAGCCACATAGGGAGTTGTAAACTTCCTTGAGACTTATAATACTCAATAAAACTATATTGTTCTTTGTTAAAACTATT